TTTATTCTTCCCCATACTCAATAAAACGCCAACCTCGTAGCTGAAAATAAGGGTGCACTTCGCACTCACACACACAAAAAAAAAAAAAAAGGAAGAAAAGCGATCGAATGTAGAATCGTGGATTAGCACAAAAGGTTAAAATCGCAGGAGCTTCCTCGCTTAAAGTTGCTAAGGTTGTTCGGTGACGGAGGGCTGAAACAACTTCCCTTAGGCCCTAACGCGACGTATACACTTCGCGTAGATTCTCAGATATTTCAACGTTCAAACAAAGCTAAGAGAATGCGAAAATTTCATGTTAAAAGCACTCAAAGTTCTATCGATCCTCGGACACATCCCGGAATCCAAGCACCAACACGGCGATGCAAAGCTGATGCTATCTCACAGGCGTTAATATCCAGATGATCCAGAGCGATCTTGCGCAAAAACGGTATAAAGTCTCATTCCTTCATATTTTCACATTATACCTGCGTCAGCGAGCACGAAGAAGCCCGAAGTCGTCGGAAAGCAGCTGCACATCACTTCTACAGCGCGCCGAACAAACCCGCATCCGCCAGCTCTGGGCGCTGCCATCTTACCTGTGACGTCACGGCTCTTGGGAGGTCACGTGACGAGTGGTCACATTTGCGTAAAATATGGCGGCAACCGGGGGGGTGCCACTTCCGAACTTCCGGTTTATCACTCTAAGCCCCTCTACCTCGTTGAGTTCACTGTACCACTAGTACCGCCGCCGCCGCTGTCTCTGCTGCTATCCTGCTACCGCGCTCGCTTTCTCTTTTCGCGAGTGTTATTTTCACTTTTAAAATTTAAAGATCAAAAGCGAGCGGACACGAATGAGCCCCTCTCAAGTCTGTGCAAGCAAGCAAGTGCGAGTCTCGATTTAGGATCGGTGGTTGACAGCTTCCGGCTCGCCACTATTCTCCATGGGAGTGTCTACATCCACGCGCGGGGATGTAGCCACGTCGGGAGGAGATAAGGCTCCATCCACGCAATACGTCACTTCCGGCGCACTACGAACAACTTCCGGTTTAGCCTCCCATTGTTTTTCCATTTGCTTGGCGGCCATTGCACCTTGCGTTCCTGCCGTGTGCGGACTACTGTCTACTGTGCCTGCCTGGTCTTCCGCAAGCGGTTTTGACTTTCTCTGAAGCGTTTTTATTTTCTTTGTTTTCTCGGACAAGGAGTTTGGCCGTTTGAGTATTAGCACGGTCGCGCTTCTGATCTGCCTCAAGTTTTGGTTGCCGGGGGTTCGACGGTGAAATACTTGTCCTAGTATTTCCCATCGAATAACCGGGTGGCTCTCGAAGTGCGAGCGTTTAGTGGCATTAGGATCGAGGCGTTGTTTTCCAAGGTGTCTTGCGCCCTGCTCGATTTTGGCACAGACAACACCAGCGTTTGTGCCAGCGCGTACGTTGACAAGTATCGTCGGCTGGCCGCTCAGATCTTGGAACGCAATCGCCTATTCTACTGTCCTTCCGAGGTGGGGGAACAGGTTCTCTTCGATGGAGTGTCAGTGTAGTCAGAGTACCGAGATCCAGGCGTTCAATGATCGGCTCAGAGACGTGAATTGGCTCCTGCAGGAGTTCTGCCGCAAGCAGGTCTTCGTGTTCATCGGTGATCTCGTGGACGAGTGGCATCTGCGCATCGGCTACTGTCTTATTTGTCATGGAATAAACTGTTTCTGGAATCTTTTACCCAGTTTTCCCGATTGAATGCTCTCAGTATGTTTGTTATTAGTGGGACTAGTGCATGTTTTCCCTTTTCTCACAATCTTTGTGTGATTGCAAGCGTGCGCGCAAGTCAAGAACGTACGAAGCGGTGGGCACGTACTTGTCCCCTTCGATACAGATAAGCTCACATTAAAAGGCTTCAAACCAAGCCAACCACACACACGACGAAGCCTCTCCGCCTCGCCTCAGCAGCATGCGCACATGGGCGAAGGTCCCGGAGGCCGCACCGCCCGCACGCACGGATGGCACGCACGCCGCCCACACGTGTGTGTGACTTCTGGACAACATAAATATAAAGATATATATTGAACATGATTGTAAAACTGAGACTGGGGCAGAAAAGAGGACACACCAGACGGTAGAAAAAGACGAGGCAACGTCTCAATTTGTACTATTTTTTTTTTCATGATCTAAAAGTTTGTAAGGTCACGTGACATATTAACCTTAAAACAACAATGAAATATAACCTCTTTATTTTTATATCCTATATTTACTTATAAGAGAGCATAATATGTACATAAAAACAAATTATCTCCCCATATTACAAGTCACGTGACCTTTTGCGTGGATGGAGCCTTATCTCCTCCCGACTTGGCTACGTCCCCGCGCGTGGATGTAGCCTCGGCCATTCTCCATTTCATCGAGCACGGCTACGAGGGAATCGGAAGGTGAGTGACTTTTTGGAAGTTAGGCGTTGGGCTGTTCTCAGGGACAGTGAACAATTCTGTTTTTGACGCCTGAGAACGTGAGGGCGGTGGAGCTGCTGTGTCGTCGGTGTGGACCTGACGCCGCGCCGTCCAGCCCGGGTACGGTGTCAGAGGGCTGCTTGGTCTCTCGGGTGCAAGCGAGTTCGGCTAGAACTCCAGCTATGTTTGGGGCCGTATGTGTTTTCCCCTTGTATGTGTTCCTCAGTCTCAGGCTTTTTTAATCATAAAGTATGCCAAGGAATTTGCTCTCCAAACTTTAGTCGTAATTTTTTTTTTTCGTGTTTTGTTTACACATGAATGGCTTTGATCGAAGCTACTAATGTTTGTTTCACTTCGTGTGCAAACGAAGCCGAAGCTACTATGCTCTGTTTCACCTTATGTTGTACCGCGGGGAAGGCTAGAAGCGCGAGCTCATAGCGTTGGAAGCTGCTCTTAGTGAACGAGAGCTTGTGCCGCAGGAGCTCGAGCTTGTAGGCTTTCCTGAGGTACATCTTCATGTTCCCCTAAACTTTTGCTTGCACTGCACGCTCGCGCGTGCTTGGCGGGGGCGCTGAAAGCCTCGCGTTTAGAATGAAGTGGATCATGGTGGGTCAATGTGTGCTTTCATGTGGCATAGTTTGGTGCTGGACTCGATTCTGCAGAAGTAAAATGCGAAAGAGCGCCTCTACCGTATTTGCATTCCTACAGTGGATTTCAAGCAGGTGCATAGTGCACAGTGTTTAGCACAGTAAAATTAAAGATTCTTAATTAATCAGATAAATGTTGTTGTTAATACCATACATAAACTCTGATGTTGATTATATACTATCTGCACACACATGAAGGCACACCATCATGCCTGCACTTTTCTTTGGCAGTTTCGTGATTAACATCGCTATATATATCCTACCTCTGAAAAATGCATGCACGTCTGCCCTCTTGCAGAGCACACTCTAGTCCAATCACTGCAAAGTGCACCCAGATGATTACGGGGCTTACAGTATGATGCAATTTAAGAACGTAATTTCATCATGGATATGTTAAATTTCCTTGCACGGATCCTTTCTTGGTGCCTCGTCGTACACTGGATGCACTCCATAGATGGCAAGAAATGGCCTACTGTGGATTTGTGGGAAAGAAGGTGTGCAAGTGCATTTAATGCTCTGCTTTTGTATTTGAGTGGCACTACACTTTTGATAACAAATTTATTTTTGACTTTTTATTGAACCCATTTTTTTTTTGTATTTTCAGGAAAGGCCAGTGAGCTGGCATTAACGGAGCCAATGGACCATAAAAATGCCGCTGGTAATTTCTACGATGGAATGAGCTATCCTTTTTTACTACCAGTCAAGTCGTGTACAAAGCAAGTTTGAACATTGTTATATGTGCCTATTTGTTTCCGGAGCTGTGAAGCAACATTTTTTGGTAATTAGCCACAAAATTACAGTTCAAAGGCTTGTATTTTGTGCCTATTTTTTAAGTATGGAATTAGTGTTGTATAGGCATCTTTAATATTCACCTCAAGGTCAAACTGTGTGGCAAATATGGTAAAATTTACTTAATGAATGTTGTCTGCACTCATCCCTTCAAATGGTTTTGTTAGGGTCACGAGATGTAAGAATGAGCTCCCCACGGCAAAGACTACACTCTGTTACAACCAAAAAAAAAGTGCAAAAATTAGACGAAGGACGAGTGAGAGGAATGTACACGACGGGCGCTGACTTACAACTGAATTTTTATTGGGAAGAAACACTAAACACTGCCAATCTTATCAATGTGATTACAATATTGCTTCATAAGGACACGTTACGAAGCAATATTGTAATCACATTGATAACATTGGCGGTGTTTCATGTTTTGGTGGTTCGAGGGTATCGTGCTTTTTCCTAAAATTTTAGTTGCAAGTTAGCGCTTGTCGCTTACATTTCTCTCACTCGTCCTTCGTCCAATTTTTGCATTTTTTTGGTTGTAATGGGGCATCACCAACTCGCCCAAGTTACCACTCTTAAGGCGCATTCCCACCGGCGAAGTAAGCAGTCGCGCGATGCCACTAGATCACATCGCAAAAAAATTAGATGGTCACACCGGCATGCGCGATGAGCGAGTCCAACACCTTCGTTGGCGAGTTGCTTCTTGAAAACTCTCGCACCGAACGCCGTTGATTGGCTCAGCCGCTCCGCGACTAGATTGCATCGCAAAAAAGTCTGGTCGAGTAGCGACTGCTCAAATCGCGTCGCTTTTTGCCCGCGATGGTCACTTTTGCGATGAAAGTTATCGCGCGACTAGATCGCATCGCCGGTGGGAACGCGCCTTTATGGTACACTCCGCTTCACCATAACTTGGCTAAGGTTGAAAGCTATGGCCCCCCGTGAGCCAATTAAAGTGACAGCAAAGTACATGACAGCACTCCACGGGAGGAATGCACGACGACTACATTGTGATGCAACTCGCTCTGACTGTCTTGCGGGGCTGCAGCGTTCATTCTTTGTCATGCTATAGTAAAACAGTTAGTACCTCGCACTATGCTATTCGGCTACTAAAAGGTTTTAAAGGTGTCGTGAAATTTGTCTTTACTCATACTTTCTTCAGCTTGATTTGTTAGGTCCATGCGGTGTAGCAAGGGCTGGCCACCACACCAGGGAGTAGCACCTTAGACCATGCCACTCTGCAGGTACGTTCCGATTCTGGTGTGAAAGTTGCGTGCACTGCAAAATTTACCTTCACTCATACCGATACCGTCTCCAACTTGTTTTCTTAGGGCCATACGGTGCAGAGAGGACCTGCCCATGCCGGGGATTGCCACCTTACGGTATGTTACACAATTACAGGTACTTTTTGGATGTACTGTGAAATCTCCCGCATTGATACCTTCTTTGGTTCTTTGTTAGGGCCATGAAAAAACAGCTGCAAGATGACACAGGGCAAGATGGTTCCCAATGCGTGAAATTTGAACACCAGCCTCCGAGATGAATCAGAAAAGTAGGGCCACTAGAAGCACCTGTATGGATAGAACACATGTGTAGTAATAAAACCATATTGCCGATATAAATTGGCTCAGGGTCGTCCTTTGACTGGTTACAACATATCCAGGCAAGAGTAGAACGGATTTAGGCATGCCATCTGCATGTCCAAAAGTGGTCTGCAGAACAAAATTGCACGCACGTCGGACATCCGCAATGGAATCCTCATTGCGGATGTCCAACGAACGTGCAATTTTGTTCGCTTGGGCGCTCTGTCGGATGTCCGGGGGATGTTCATCGGACATACACGGATGTCCCACGGATGTTCGGTGGATCTGAATTGGACCTCTATCGGATGTTCCCGGGATATCCAAAATCGGCCTGCAGAGGGATCCCATCTCGGATGTCCAACGGATGTGCGATTTTGTTCGTTTTGGCACTCTGTCGGATGTCCTGGGGATGTTCGTCGGACGTATATGGATGTCCCATGGATGTTCGATATATCTGAATCGGATCTCTATCGGATGTTCACGGGATATCCGAAGAAATTCTGCCCTGTAGAAATTGGCTGAGGTTAGTGCTTTGACTGGTTTACAACATATCTGGGCTAAAGTAGAATGAATTCAGGCATGCCATCCGAATATCCGAAATTGGCCTGCAGAAGGATCCCATTTCGGATGTCCGACGGACATGCAAATTTGTTACCTTTGGCACTCTGACGGATGTCCTGGGGACATCCGTCGGACGGCTACGGATCTCCTGGGGACGTCCGAATATCTTGAGCGGATATCTATCGGATGTCCAATGGACATCCAGTGGTTTGTTGGGACGTACATTGTCATTAGATGCTGGGACATATAGAACGAGCATTTGAACGTCGTCTCAAGGAGGAAGAAAGCTTCGGACACTTCGTGGTTCCCAACAAGTTATCCAGCCTGTTGAGTGCCAACATTTTTCGAAGCTTTATTTCACATTTTCATCTTGCTTGCGTGAGAAGCTTTGAATATGTAAAAATGAAGGTAATGATTGCTGGGGGCCACCTAAGTAGCTTATATTTCTTAAATCAGTGAACAACTTTACTTTCAGTGAACAGCTGATCCAACTTGGCATGTTGAATGCGTAATTATGTGGGTCAATGTGTACACTTGTAAAGATATATGTTAGTGACCATTCCCAAGAAGTGATAGTGATAAAGTTAGTGATAAAGCCAATTCCCAAGAAGGTGTGCGGCCAAGCATGTAATAATGAAGTGATGAGATCGTGCACAGATGACAGAGAGGTGCTGGCGATGTGCAACTGCAGCTGTGGGCGAGGTTGACGAAATGATTTTGCCAATGTTTTATTTTTGCGCGTATGCAGGTGCAGTGCTGTACTTAATTCCGTTTTAGCATCTGTGCAATAAATGTGCCTCGAAATATTTCGGTCGCAGCTGTGGATTCCTTACTGGACGGCGGGACGCCTCGAAACAGAAGAACAACGAACACACATGACTACGCACCTTATACAGCTGAAAGCGAAATCGCACATCGTATATTACGTTAGGGACTTTTAGCGAACTGTTACCGTGTTCCGCGTACTGCACTATCGGAGCCTTTGAAACATGCTTTATAGGCGCGCACCCGGAGTGATACCGTGACAGCGGGGCGCGCACTTAAAAGCATGCTTCAAAGGCTCCGATAGTGCGATACGCGGAACACGGTTTGTTAAAAGTCCTTATTTTTACACTACCGGGACCGGGCGTCATGCTCAGGAGCCTGGATCCAGGCTCCAGCACGACCCCGAAGCGATCCATACGAGAACCACATACTGATCTCTATGACAATTGCTGGATCGCGTTTGCCCGCTCCGCGAATGCGGTCACTGGCGGCCATCTTTAGGTAGAGTTATATCACCTCTAGCCAATGTAAGCTGCTGCAGCCGCTATCATCCATCCATGGCAGATAGCGTTTTGGCAGGTGGGTTGGCAGGCTGCGATCAAAATAGCGTGGGTGATATTGCGTGCTTGATTTATTTTTTATTTATTTATTTATTTATTTACATACCCTCAAGGCCCTGGGGGCGTTACAGAGGGGAGTGAGTGAAAAAACAACAACAAACAGTAATAGAAGACATGGAATAGGTCACGGGTCACTTTCGCAAAAATAATTAGTAACAGCACTTTTAAACACATCTAACGAGGGTAATAATATTAATGACGCCGGAAGGTGGTTCCACTCTGGTGATGTCCTAGGAATGAAAGATTCGTGATAGGCTGAGGTTCGAGAATGAGGAATGCCGACTTTGTACTGATGATCAATGCGTGGAGAAACGTAAGGTGGGACGAGGAAGAGCTTTTCTTTAAGAATGGGGTTAGAATTATATATTTTATAGAAAAGACATAGACGAGAACACTTACGGCGCAAAGAAAGCAGTGGCAAGGAGAGAAGAGATTTCATGGATGATACACTAGCTGTACGGTGATAATTGTTAAAGGGACACTGACAGGGTATTTATGCTCGCTGAGGTTTTTAGTTTTACGTGACATATGAGAGCTCAACTACCCAGAACAGAATTTGCGGCTCGAAATTCGGTTTCTTTCCGCCCGAAAACCGCCGATCAAGAAGTGGCCGGTTCGAGTCTCGCTCACTCTCTTTTTCGCGGTCACGGGCCATTTTCTAAGGTATCGATGCGACCACCAAATTTAATCAAAGTCGTGGGTCACTGAAGGCACACACTCATTATTAAAAATAGAAAAAAATATGAAACCCATTTTTTGTGGCTTCTAAAAAGCTGTACATACGTTGATTGAAAAAAAAAAAAGTTCCACAGACAACCGGAAGCATTCTGTGCGTTCGTCGTTTCGCGTATCGTGGGACTCGCGGGGACGGCGATGGCAGCGGACGACGGGCGTGGGACCTCTATTTCAGAACTGTCGTTCGCGGTACCGGCGAATTCTGTCAACCGTTAAAAGAGAAATTTGGGAGTGATCAAAAAAATTGGTATTCATCCCGTACGACACGCCCGGCCACCAAGCCGATTTGCACGAAGACGTCGCCGAGCCGTCGATCCCTTCTCGGGGCTGAAGACATTGCTCGCGCAAACGTCAAGCACGACGTGTCTACTTCGAGTTCAATATGCACGCGTACGATTTCTTTACTAGGTGCGAATGTCCCCAAAGCGTGGTGCTTCCCGACTTCGACCCAGGAGTGCTTTTGCTAGAGAAAAATCGACAGCAAACTTTCCAACTTACAGTTTACCGGCTGAATTGTTACTAGGGAAAGAGATCCTCCAGAAAAGGTTCCGACGTGGGCGCGCGTGGGAGCGGACGTCTTTTTTTCCGCTCTCCCGTTCCCCCCACGCGACCGTCTGAATGGCCAACGGAGCGGCTGCCCCCGTTGAGGGCGCGCATCAGGATACGAGCAACGCCGGAGATTCGGGCTACAAGATGCTGCTGCCGCCACTACCAAGTGGCAGCAGGCTTGAGAAGACCGTTTTCCTGCATGGGGAGCCCAGAGGACGCCCCTACCGCACTCAGGACTTTGCCGATATGTTGCAGTCGACTGTTGGAATGAAGCACGTGGTTGGGCTGGGCGCCTTCCAGTTCAACCACGTGTTTGTGTGCACCCTGAACTCAACAGACGCTAAGGACAAGCTGACCGCGCTGAAGGATGTCAAGGTGAAAGGCCGGAAGTGCGTCGTGGTCGACCCGAACTTTACGGAGGTGGTGCTGCGGGTTCACTGGCTCCCCACCTACGTGACAGATAGGGAGGTCAGCGCCGCCTTCGCGGAGTTCGGGGTCGTCAAAGAGATCACCAGGGAGATGTGGAAGTCGCCGACCGACGACTACCAAGTCGAAACATCTACGCGGTCCGTAAGGATCATCCTAAAGAAAGGGGGCCGAAGGGATGAGCTGCCGCACCAGGGACACGTGGCCGACTATCCCGTGCTCATCTCCGTGCCCGGCCGGCCTCCCATGTGCCTCCGGTGCAGCCAGCTGGGGCATATGCGAAGGCAATGCAGGGCGCCGTGGTGTCGCGGCTGCAGGGGCTACGGACACGTCGAGGCCGACTGTGTCCCAACGTACGCCTCCAAGACGAGGCACGAGCCACTGCGCGAGCGGCACCAGGAGCTGCTGGACGACGGCGACACGGAGGGGGCCGCAGTAGTCGAGGTAAACGAAGCACATCCGACTCCGGAGCTGCAGACTCTACGCGAGATCGTAGACCCTTCGGCAGCCCTCGGCTGACATTCGCGTGGGACCACCGAACGAAGACGACACCGACTCGGGCCCTTCGGTCGGGGAGCCCGACCCGGTGTCGGCGGAGAGGGCTGCCGCGGCAGCTTCCATCTCGGAGCCCACGATGCCCACGGCTTCGCGGGAAGAAGCGGAGGAGGCCACTTCGCCAGCGCCGACAGCCGCTCCGGGGAAAGCTCCCCCGCCGGAGCCCAACGCAGGTGCGCCTCTCAAGGACACGGGCAAGGCAACACGACAGAGTGCGCGTAAAAAGTACAAAGACCTCCCCGAAATCCCAGCCTCGCGTCCCGTCGAAACGGATCGGTCTTCGCTGAAGAATGTGTGAGGAAACCCGGCACTTTCCATAATTTGGGTGAGAGTTATCTTTCCTCAACTCTGTCTTTTCTATTTTTACTCGGTAGTTGTGCTTCGTTGGTTTTCTTTTCGTTCTCTTAGTTGGTGTGTTTGTACCTTTCATCTCGTCTTATCACGTCTACATTTGTACTGTTGGTCTTGGCTGCTTCTTTGTGTTCTGTTTATATACAATAATTTTAAATGAAGTGTTTAAAAATAGCAACCTTTAATTGTATAAGTGTCACCGCCACGAAGCGTAAAAGTTTTTTATTAGATCTAATTAATGAGGAGAGCGCGGACGTCATTTTCATACAAGAGACAAAGATCTGCTCCGCTGAGAAAGCAAAAAGTTTTGTTCGTTTTTTTGGAAACGTTTTTTGGTGCGTTCACACGCTCACGGCTAGCCCCTCCGGGGGAACCGCCATCCTAGTCAGAAAAAATACTGGCATCCGAATGCTGGACCCCAGACTGTGCGCGAGTGGGCACTTTGCACTTGCCGATTGCCTCCTTGGAGACCAGCTGGTGCGCCTTATATCGGTCTATGCCCCTAGCCGGCCGGGGGAGCGCAAGGACTTTTTCGTCGGACTGCGCGCACTTCTTGACACGCCCGCCACGCTCGTGGTCGGCGGAGATTTCAACTGCGTGACTAACAGTCGCGATAGAGTGAGCGGGTCGGCAGTCCCAAGAGCCGACGTGGGTGCGGCTGCGCTTCGCGACGCCGTGCGCGATTTCGACCTTGTGGACGTGACGGAGACGCTTGACAAGTTTTCGCCGCGGTTCACGAGGTGGAGGGGCGCGTCGCAGGCG